GGCGGCGGGGGGCGGGCGCGGGGGCGCCGGCGGGCCGTTTAAAGGGACCGCGCTGCTCCGCCGCCGCCGCCGCCGCCGCCTCCGAGGCCGCCGAGGCCGCGCAGGGACGGGAGGGCCGCGGCGCGGGCGGGAGAGGAAGAGGAGGAGCGGCCGCGGGCGGCGGGGAGGGGCCTCGGGCGCCGCCGCCCACCGCGCGGGCCGTTATCCGACCCCGCGCTGCGCTGGCCCGCGCGCCCCTGGCCGAGTGGCCCTTCCAAGCCCTTCACTCGCCTGGTCCTCGGCATCCCCGGATGGCCCTCCCACGACCCCTCCCGCCTGGCCCTCAGCATCCCGGGGTGGCCATCCGGAGTCCCACGCCTGTGCCTGGCTCTAGCATCTGTGTTGCCCTCCCATATCCTCTCCAGAGTGGTCCTCAGCATCCCCGGGTTGCCCTCCCACTTGGCCCTCAACATCTAGCAACTCTTCCCGGGAGGTCCTTCGAAGCCTCCGCTTGAGTGGTCCTTGGCAGCCAGGTGGAGGACCCAGGTGGGCCTCCGGAGGCCCATGCCGTGCATCCCTGGGAAGCACTCCTGCCACCCTTCCAGAGTAGCCCTCGACATCACGGATGGCCCTCCTGCGACCCCTCTGGAGTGGTAGTTGGCAACCTCCAGTGACTCTCTCCAGGCCCACACCTTCTTGGACCGCAGCACCCGTTGACTGGCTCAGTGCTCTCAGCACCCCTGGATGGACCTCTCACCTGGCCTTTCGGCATGCCTGGAAGGCCCTCTCAAGACCCCTCCCGAATGACCCCTCCTGGCCCTCAGCATCCATGGGCCTCTCAACCCTATACCCACCTAGCCTTTGGCATCCCCAGGTGGCCCTCCAGAGAGTTCCCTCCTAAGAGGCCCTCAGCATACCTGGGTCAATGTGGGCCCTCTTAGGGCTCCCTGGGAGCGTCAAAGTGCCCTTGGGTCCTTGTGTGAGTTCCCTGCACCCCTACAGGGTCCTTTCCAAATCTTGTAGGTCCTTAGTGTGTCTGTTTCTCATCTTTCGACGTCCTTGGTCATCCCATCATGACTACCCTCCCATGAGGCAGGCATGTCCTGAACTGCCAGGCCTCGGTGGACATTCCCTTCTCCCCTGTATTTCCTCCTACAGGCCTCAGCTGAAGGTGAGATCACATAAGCCTCTCCCCAGCCACAGACGACCCCCAGCTTGAGGGCTGCAGCTGAGGAGGGTCGTCTGTGGAGGAAGGCTGCTCTTTGTGGCATTCACAAGCATTTGTGACTGTGGGCCTGCTTTGGTGCTCATCTGAGGTCTGTGGGGAGTGGGGTGCTTAGACATTACCCCAAAGGCGGAGGACAAAAGGGTGGTGTCCCTGATGGACTCCTGTCCCTACCATGGTTGGGAGGTGAGGAGGAGCTGATGGGGTTCTGGTTGAGTCTGAGCACTGTGGGTTACTTTGACAATGGAAGTCTATGACTGCCGAAAATTGTCCTGTTTGAGGTGCATCCTTGTAGAATGTAGAGTACAGTAAATGGAGCTCAGGAAGCACTGTGGGCCAATATGTGAGGTTTGGGCATGCAGTAAGGGGATCAGGGCTAATTCATTCTAGGCAAGGAATCTGCATGATGCTTGGATCCAACCCAGGAAGGGTCTCCCTGAATGCTGAGAGGTGGAAAACATCAGATCTCAGAGTTCGAAGTCACCCTGGTCTGCATAGTAAATTCCAGGACAGCCAGAGCTACATAGGCCCCATCTCAAAACAGCAACAACAGAAAGGTCTTCGCCACCTCCCTGAATGCTGTGAGGTAGGAAAGCAGCTACAGGTCGGGGACTGGAGAGAAGGACCTGGGGAGAAGGGGGCAGAGGGACAAAGGACCCCAGGTGCTTGCATTCTGTAGGATGAACAGATGATGATAAGCAGGCAGTCTCCCCACATGGGAAAAGCGAGAGGGCTGCTCTCACAAAGGCCTACCTCTAGTGTGTACAGCATAGGATCTCACTTCACCACAACCTGACAAACTGGCCAACAGAACTTCCAGATAGAGCTGGGCTTGGTAGCACATGGCTTTGATCATAGCATTCAAAGAGGGAGGGAGATCTCAAGTTCAAAGCCAACCTGATCTACATAATGAATTCCAGGTCAGCCTGAGGTACATAGACCTTGTTTTGTATCTACAAAACAAGAAGCACCAAATAACATCCAGGCAGTGGCAGAACAGAGGGCACAGACTTGACGTACTCTGTAGCATCTCCATCTGCCTCCATCCCAGATTTAACCCTTTAGTCCCAGTTGCAGGTCTCAGTCCTTTTCCTTGGGGTTAGACAATAATAGCAACCAGAGCATACATGGTCAGGGCTGACTCTAAAGGAAGTTTCTGAATTCCGAGCCAGTGTTCTCCAGACCTGAGAACATGCCCTCAGAATGGAGTGCTATGTACCTCAGAAGGCAGCTCAACTCACTGCCTTCTTCTCTACAGGGAAGAGAAGAGAAACCACCTAGCTCAGGCCAGCAGATCTAGTGGCAAAGGGACTCAGAAGAATGACTCAAGCCGCTCGCCAGGAGAGCTGCTTGTACAGTAGAGGCACTGGTGTAGGTGACCACGTCAAGGAATCTGAAAGGAATACTTTTCACAAGGGAGGCACAGGGCAGGTAAAAATCCAGCAGAGAAGAAAACACAATAGGAAAGAAGACTCCATCACAGGAGGGCTTCACCTTCCAGGAGCCTAGCAATGCAGAGACAGCGGGAGCTCATTTACTCAACAACAAAGCACAAAGAGGGTAAGGCTCAGCCCCAGGGGACACCTTATGGGTCACAGCACACCTCAGGGACAAATTGTTGAACTAAAAAAGAGAAAGTCTTCATGTCATTTCAGGAGAAGACAAAACTATCAATGGAACCCATTCAACTTATTTCCTGAGTATCTCATGCTACAAACAATGTCAGACGCAGAGGGTCACGCAGTATCTACCACATAGCAGAAGTGGTGAAAGGAGCACTAAGTAACATGCCGTAAGCCGTCTCAAGACAATGCTGACAACGAAAGCACGGACACACAAGGAGAAGGCGCTGCCATCTCATGAAGGTCAGGGAAAGAGGCATAGAGGGTCCCATGCAGGTGAGCAGAGCTCAGGGATGGTGACATGGGGTCACGTCTGCTTTCAGGACTCTGTTGTCTTGTGGAATTTGTGTTCTGCCTCTGGGTGCTGTGATGACCTGAGCCGACCTGTTGAAGGCGATCCCTCTGGCTGCTGTGTGTGAAGGATGAGAGAAGCAGCCCAGCCTATGGCACCTAGTCCTAGAGGCAGGAAATCAAAAGTATTCAGGTCGGCCATAACCAAGTCTTCCTGAAGCCTGTGGGGGAGGAGGGAGTCGGTGCCATGCTCCAGCACATCAGTGTGGCACACATCATCTGAGCTCTGTCCCGTGTGTCACTGAACTCTAAGGATTATTGAAACGACTTTTCAGGGAAAAAAAAAAAAAAAAAAAAAGGAAAAGAAAACCAAAACATGAGAAAGGAGTACTGGGTGTGGTGGCGGCAGCCTTTAATACCAGTCCTGGGAAGTAGAGGGAGGCAGAGCTCTGTGAGTTTGAGGTCAGCCTGCTCTACATAGTGAGTTTTGGGACAGCCAGTGATAGTACACAGACTCAATCGCTAACTCCCCTCCCCCCCCAAAAAAAAGGAATAAGGAGCGCTCCTCCCTCCATGGTCTTAGCTGAGCTGTGAGTGGAAGTGGCCTGAGGCTACCAGACAAGCTGTGTTTTCTAGGGATAGAGAACTAGAGTGATGGGACTAGCTAAGATCATAAGTGAGTCCCAGATGTCAGATTTACATTGTTTAATTTTGGTTTTGCTTTGATTTGACTATACCTGTCCCCTGATTCTTTCCTCTTGGAATAAGAAAGTATTTAACTTATCTTATTATAGGAGCCTGCAATTGAGAAACATTGGATTTAAAAAAAAAAAAAGTTTGTTTGTTTATTTATTTATTTATATGGATATGCATACTTTATCTTCATGTACACCTGCATACCTGTACAGCCCTAGAGGGCACTAGGGCTGGAAAGATGGCTCAGAGGTTAAGAACACTGGCTACTTTTCTGAAGGTCCTAAGTTCAATTCCCAGCAACCATATGATGGCTTACAACCATTTATAATGATATCTGGTGCCCTCTTCTGGTATGCAGGCAGAGGGCACTGTATATATAATAAATAATTTTTTTTTTTTTTTAAAAGAGGGCACTAGATCTCATTATAGATGGTTGTGAGCCACCATGTGGTTGCTGAGAATTGAACTCAGGATCTCTGGAAAAGCAGCCAATGCTCTTAACCTCTGAGCCATCTCTCTAGCCCCGAAACTTTGGATTTTTAAAGAGAAGTTGTCTTAAAGTGTTGAAAATTTTAAAGATTGTGGGGCTTTTAAAAATACATTGTAGGGCCGGGCCTGGTGGGTCACACTTATAATCCTAGCACTTGGGGAGGCAGAGGCAGGGGGAATCTCTGAGTTTGAGGCCAGCCTCATCTACAAATTGAGTTCCAGGACAGCCAAGTCTACCCAGAGAAACGCTGTCTCAAAAAAAAAAAAGTGTTTGTTTATATATATATATATATATATATGTGTGTGTGTGTGTGTGTGTGTGTATGTGTGTGTAGGTATATATGTATATAATATTAACATGAACTTGAAGACAAACAAGATTATACATTGTGTTTGTGTGTCAACTTGACAAGGGATCAATTGTGGGGCTTTTTGTGGGGGGAGGTTGTTTGTTGGTTTGGTTTTGTTTTGTTCCAACTTAAACTACAGTCATCCGGAAAGACCCTCCATTGAGGAACTGCTCCATCAGATTGGCCTGTGGACATGTCATTAAGAATTGTGGGAGGACCCAGTCCTGGGAGGGGATCCTGGGATGTTTAAGAAAGCATACTGCGCAAGCCATAAAGAGCAAGCCAGTAAGCAACACTCGTCCGCAGTCTGTTTCAGTTCCTGGCTCCAGCTTCCTGCGTTGAGTTCCTGCCTTGGCTTTCCTTGATGATGGACTGTAAACTAAAATAAACTCTTTCTTTCCCCCCCACCAAAAAAAAAAATACAAAATTAACCTTTTCCAGCAGCATTCAAAGCTTAGAGAAACAGCAATTTTTTTTGTTGTTGTTTGTTTTTCGTTTTGTTTCTTCAAGACAAGGTTTCTCTGTGTAGCCCTGGCTGTCCTGGAACTCACTCTGTAGACCAGGCTGGCCTCAAACTCACAGAGATCCACCTGCCTCTGCCTCCCAAGTGCTGAGGTACAGGCGTGTGTCATCATGCCCAGAGTGAGAAACAGCTCTTAAAAAAATATAACCCTCAGTTTTTTACCCAGACAGATTTTCTTGAATATATAAAACCCTTAAAACATTTTCAAATATACAAGAACAGGAGGAAGTTCTTTAAAATCTCAAGTGGCCAAAAGTCAATAGGGGAAAGAGCAAGAGGCTGCAACCCTACACAAAGACTAAAGAAATGCCCAGAGGAGAAACCCCAGGAATAGACACACCAATTGGTTATCAATACCAGGTGGTCAGCCCTGAATGCATATATACAATTAATATTATTTAGACTTATCAGATTTTATTTAGAACTCTATGTGTGTTATTCATACATATATGCATGTAACAATTGATGTAAAAAGAGTCCATGAATCTGAAAGAAAGCAAGGTGGGATATAAGAGAGGATTTAGAGGGAGAAAAGGGGAGGAGGAAATGATGTAATTATAATATCAAAATGGAAAAAAAAACTGGCCAGGTAAGGTGATATACAGCTGCAATCTTAGCACTTGCATGGTAGAGGCAAGACAAGGGACCAGCTACATAGTCTAAGGCCAGCCTGAGTTACATGAGACCCTATACATGAGAAAAAGTAAAAACTTAGGGACCCGGACAGATGGCTCAGCACTTGCTGCCCTTGCAGGAGACTGTGGCTCAGGTCCCAGCACCCATGTGGCTGTCTACAACTGTACCTCCAATTTCCAGGAATCTGATGTTCCCTTCTGACTTCCGTGGGCACCTCACCTCCGTTCATGGTGCACATACAAGTAGCCAAAACACTTGTACACATAATATAAAAGTATTAAAATTTAGAAGCTGATCTTAATTTCAGCTAACAAGAAACATAAAATAATGCAAATGGCCCAAGTTCTAGAGGTAAACTGACTACAGGAGAGGGTAGAACAAGGGCTGGGGAGTTGGAATGGAAGATAAATATAATGGGTCTTATTGTGTGAATTGACTGAGGGGCCAGGACAGAGCAAACAAGGAAGGCCCATGACACGTAATACCAAACCAAAACTCAGTCATGTTTACACTGAAAAATTAGTGGTATTTATCCATATTTATAGTTTCTTTTAAATATTTCTACAGTGTTCTGCCTGCATGTGTGCCTTCACACCAGAAGAGGGTACTAAATATCACTATAGATGGTTATAAGCCTCCATGTGGTTGCTGGGAATTGAACTCAGGACCTTTGGAAGAACAGCCAGTGCTCTCCACCTGTAAGCCGTCTCTCCAGCCCGTACTTACAGTTTCTAAGAACAATCTTACAATTTGTTTTTGACGGGGTCTCACTGTATAGCCCAGGCTAGCCTCAGGTTTGAATCAGTTCTCTTGCTGCTTCCTTCTGAGTGCTTGGATTATGGGTCTGCGCCACCACACCTGGCATCTTATCTTTTCATTGGGTTTTCCAACTTAAATATTTTAATTTTTTTCTCTTTAAAAATTATTTTTATGTACATTTGGTGTTTGGCATACATGTGTATCTGTGTGAGGGAATCAGATCCACTGGAATTTGAGTTATAGACCAGACAGTTGTGAGCTGCCATGCGGGTGCTGGGAATTGAACCAGGGTTCTCTGGAGAAGCAGTCAATGCCCTAAACCACTGAGCCATCTCTCCAGCCCCTTTTTTTTTTTTCTCTTTTTGTAAATATTTTTAAATGTGTAAGTAGCTCTGTGATTCAGAATTCCCATCGTTTTATAACTTCGTATGTCCCAGAAATAGCTGAAATGACCTGTGATGTTAACAGCAATCACTCTAGCAATCAAACAGTGTTTTTTAAAAATCCTTTATTAATTTTGAGCAAGAGTTTTTGCAAAGTCAACAAAGTCATTTCTTACGTGGTGGCATGCACAGACAGCTGTGAACTACATCTCCCAGGTGCCTCAGCAGCACTACACTATGAAGGTCAGCTCCTGGAAAGGCTTCTTTCTGCTTCAGGTATCCAGAGTGTTCTCTCCAACCCATTCAGAGCTGGAATATCAAGCTGAGAAAGGTGCTGAGTGCCCAATGAGATCCTGTGGCTGTGGCTAGCTCAAGAAAACTTGATCCTGCCCTACTGGGGGAGGGTCTCCCAACATCACCTGCCTCCCCTTGCCTGAGGTGTCCAGGGACCCTTCCCCCAAGACTTCTGTGCACCTAAGATGAGCCAACCTGTCTGCTGTGAATCCCAGTCTCCCTCAGAGGGCTCCCACCTCCCCATACCCTTCTCTGTTCTCGTTTTCCCAGTAGAGCACCCTGGACATGGGGGGTGGGGTGGGAGGAGCTGTCCTATATACCTTAGCAGCACCTGGCCCTCTGCCCCCTATAGGCCAACAGGAGCCTGGAGAAGGTGCCAAGCTCCCCTCCCAAAAGAGGGAGCGTGTGAACAGGCAGGTGGGGCACAGGAAATGAAGTTTACTAAGTCTGATCTTAAAATAGATTTCCCAGGTCATCTGGGTGGACCTCGTGTGATCTCAGGGGACCTTAACCATAGAAGAGGGGTGAGCCCAGAGGCAGGGCTGCAGTCTCCTTACCCCAGGCAGGCGTGAAAAGTAAGCGGAGGATGGCACTGCCTCGATCTTGATCAGCGTAGTGGGACCCGCTGAAGACTGCTACAGAACTTAATGAATCCATGTTCTTTTAAACACTAAGCCTGTGGCATTTCGTTACATTAGCAGCTGGAAACCAGGCATTGCCCCAGTGCTGTCGCGAGGTGCTGCTAACACTTCCAACATCAGGCTCTGTGCCCTGCTGAAGCCACTGGCCTTGCAGCCACATTAACTCCCACAGCTGGCCAGTGGGCAGGGGCCAGCTCAGGGCCTCAGCCCTGGTACTCTGATGTGGCTTGTGTTGCTGTGATGGGAAGATTCTAAGAGTTGCTGATTGACTCAGGAAGTGCCCAGGCAAGAGCACTAGATCAGGATAAACCCTGTCAACCCCCAGCCAAAGGCGAAAGAGCAATATGGAGTCCTTTAAAACCACTCCAAGCTGGCATGCACATAGCACAGGGTGCTTATGTGGTGACCTTTGACTAACTCACTGCCTTAACAGGACTCTCTTCTTGCCCAGCACAGGACTTCCTTAGCCCACTGCATGCTGTGTTCTAAGTCATCTTCAAATCTCTGAGGAGGTGGCAGGGTCATGATGGGCCCCAGGGTCCCGTCCAGACTTCTTAGGACTATCCCTCGCCTAGTCCTTGTAGCACTGTGCTCTGCCTTCCCTTTACCCCTTGTACCCTGAGAAATACAAAAGGCCTAGGATAGCAACTGAGGATGTCCTAGGGGACAACTGGGAAGGGATGCCCAGTAGGGTGATGAAGACAGACTTCCTGGAGGAAGAGGGATTTCACCGAGTCTTAGGAAGGGAGGAAGCAAGAACAGAGGATTCAAGTCAGCCAGGGACTAGTGTCAAGCACAGGCGAGTCTGTGCTTCAGCAATGGGCTCTGTGTAGGGGTAGCTGGTACAGCACTACCAAGCAGGTGGATTCTTTGAAGGCCCGGCTCACAGGCCTGACTCGTGCCCTTACTTAAACTAGAAGCTATCATTTTCTACTAACTCAGAATCTCCTGTACCCAGCTTCACTCTCACAGACGCCCAGGTCTCCACTACCAGTCTACGAGTCTAGGGTGCCCCATACCCACCCTAACCTGCCCCTCACAGGTTACGGTTACCACCTCCTTTGCCTTTCTCTCCTCTAGCTTAACGTCTCCAAAATATATGTTAGCTGCCCAGTCCTGGATCCTTTTGCAGGACCCCCAACCTCAAGACAAAGTGAGACATAACTAAAGACCCAGGTTCTTTATGTTACTGCAAACCTGTACAGAGCACACTGCCTTCCTAGCTCTCAACTTCAACTCCGACTTCCCTGTCTGGAACGACCTCAGCTACCTGGAAGCCTACATATGTCTGGAACCTCACTAGGTCTCACTCCTTAAGCTGTCCCACCATAGTCCCACCACAGCATCTCTGAAGTCACCCATACCATCTTCTTGGCTGTGAGGCTGGATCCTACAGGTCCCAAATGGCTACTGGAGGAACTGGGTGTGGCAGAGATCTCACCACCTCCTCATACATCATGGCTTAGCAATGGGGCTAACAAAGCAGCGCATCATGAACTAGGGTATATATGGCAATCCCGCCTCTAGAGACACACAAAGTCTGTTCATTATGTCCTGGGGAGCAGGGGCTCTTCTAGAAGGCCTTCCCTCTCTCCCTTCTATGGCTCTCCCAAAGTTCCCAACCAGGTTCCCAGGAGAGGCAGATAGCTGGAGTCCTGAGTTGTTTGTCCTCTTTAGGTGGCCATGACCACAGTGAAACACAGAGGGCACAAGGGGTAACAAAGTTATGCCCCACCACAGAGAAAAGCTCTGAACAACATCATAACACTGGGCTGAGCCAGGCTCATTCTTAGGAGGGGGTGACCTTGAATTCTAGTTCTCAATTCTCTTTCTGCCAAAGGGGTGCTATATGGGCCAAGTAGTCACGGAAGACATTGGGACACTAGGTGGAATTTAGAGGGTGAGGCAGGAGTACGTCCTTTTCCACACCCTCAGACACCAGCTCCGCTACCATCTGTCTGATGTCCTGCAGGGGGACAGCCATTTCAGGGGCCTGGCAGGGAGGTGTTGGGTCAGGGCAAGTCGGTAGGGAGGACACAGTCTGCTGGCCAGTGTGGCATACGCCCAGCAGGTCTCCGGATTGGGCCATCTCCATGTTTGTCCTCTCCTGTGCATACAGCATGGCCAGACGCCTGCGTTCCTCGATGCTGATATTCCAGCGGCTACCTGGGTGCCTGTATGCCTGAGGCTCACACACCTGTGGGGACAGAATGGTAGGTACCCCTTTCCTAGCATGGTCACCCCCAAACTCAAGTCCTCATATCTGTCCCTCTCGGCCCCTATTTGTTTATTTTTGAGACAGGGTCTCACTATGAAGCCCAGACTGCCCTGACTCCTTTGCTGCTTCAGAGAAAGCTCCTGGTGGGGGAAGCAGGACCCTCTCCCACAAGCCCTCTGTGGAACACTCCCACACTGGCACACCTGTGCACTTCATGGGCCCCACGATGTGTTTACGGGTACCAGTACATCTGTCCCCGGACTGTACAGGCCTTAGAGTGGTGCTGGCAAAGTACTCCAAAGTGGAGGGTGAGATTGGGCCAGGGGCATAACAAAGCTAACCTGTTGTGTGGCCCCAGGAAGTCAGGTTTTAGAGGTCAACTCCAGGCATCTTTCCTCCCTCAGAGGCTATAAAGTGATCCTATAAAGGCTAGTTCATTACCAAAACCAACAACAGCAAAAACAAATAAAATGTCTATAAATAGATTTAGATAGAAAATTAACACACTGAACCCCCATTAAAAGAATTTAAAAAACAGGCACAAGTGGAGGAGGGTTATCAGCCAGCACCATGCATTAGATTGGAAGGTGGTGACACGTAAGAAAGTGGGCTGGAAGGGAAAGCCCACTTTCCAAAGCTCCGCGAAGGCCCTGCCCAGGTGGGTGGCCCATGGAGGTCCCTCCAGACTGCTCCGTTAGGAGACACACCGAGATATTTTCCAGATAGAAGGTAAAAGCAGGAATGGGGCAGTTCCAAGCGAAGAACCTCCTTACGCAAAAAATCTAGACTACACAACAATCCAGTGGTTCCATTTCTAGGGACAGACCCAGAAGAATTTAAAGCTGGCGCTTCGGAAGGCGTCCGCACACCCATGTGCATGCAGGAGCTTCATTTACTTAGTCAGAACACGGAAGCAATTCAAGTGCCTGTGGAGAACGCACCCACCCAAACAATGCAGCATTCTTCACTCTAAAAATAGGGCGGGCATTTGGGGCTGGAGAGTTGGCTCAGCATTCTGCAGTTGCAGGGGACCTGGATTCAGTTCCGAGCACCCCTGTCAGGCAGCTCACATCTGCTTGTAACTCCAGTTCCAAGGGATCCAACACATTTTTTACCTGCATGCAGAGGGAGTACATACACTCATGTGCATGCACACACACACACGCGCGTGCGCACACACACACACATAATTTTTTAAAAAATTAAAAAAAGAATATTTGACACATGCTGTTGTAAAGAGGTGAACGTGAACCCAGAGAGCAGTGCTTGCTGAAGGAGCAGCCATCAAAGCACATGTTCCTCAGCCTCTATGATCCTGCTGCCTACAAACTCAGACTCAGAGACAGAAAGCAGAATGGTGCCTCTGGGAGCTGGGAATGGAAAGGGAAATGCTTACTGGAGATAATGCAGACTCTGAAAGTAAAAAAGCCCTGGAAACCTCACAACAATGAGAACACATGTATACATATAGAGGCTCCATGACAGAATGTACACTTAGCATATGCATGGCCCTGGGCCTATTTCCCAAAACCCCTATCACCACACACAAAAAGGGGTTTTGTTGGTAAAAATATGACAAAGTAAGTGAACATTTGACTCCAAGACATACTAGGGAAATGAAATACAAAGATACACAGGAGATGAGGGCTACAGACCAAGAAGGGTACTCTTCAGGTCCTCCTGAACCCTGCAGAAGCCAGAAGCCTCCGGATGTGTGTCCTACCAAATCCACAGGCCAAGGTCTTCCTGTTCACAGTGCTGGAACAAGAGATTAGGGCCTCAACACTCACCTGCCCTCACATACTACAGCAAAGGGAAAGGCAACTTCTGTGAGCCAAGACATGGGTCCTCTCTAGATCTGAACCTGCGAGGGACTTGGCCTTGACCTGCCAATCCCAAGAACTGAGGAGCATCATTCCATACTGCAGAAGCTATGCTAGTTTGCTATGGCAGCCTCAACTGATGGAAGACCCCAAAAGGGGGCACATTAGTGTTTCTGATGCTTCCCTTTAGGGACCTCTGGCTTTTGGTAGTGTGAGCCAATAATTTTCTGTTGTTCAAGTCAGAAAATAAGGATGGGGGAGGTTGAAGTCCACAGCCCCTCACCCATTCTGCAGCCTAGTTTACTCTATTTTCCCCTCCCGTCCAGAGAAGTTTCTTTTTCTTTTTTCTTTCTTTTTGGTTGAAAAGCAGATTCCTGTACCCACTGAAAGCCACATGCATACCTGACCATGCCACAGCCAAGCCAACTGCTAACAAAGGCTATCTGAATAGCCACATACTCAAAGTCACCAGTATCTGCACAAGCCAAGGAAAAAGAGCAGACCAGAGCCACCAGCTACTTGCTTCTTGAGAAATGAGAGAGATCCCAGGTCCATACTACACTGTAGCCCTCAGATGTAGGAGCCAGGCAGTACATGAGCAAGAGCAGAAGCGTGTGGAGAGGGGCCATCCAGAGCACAAGAATGACCCTGGACATGGAACGTGTGACTTGCCAACACGGAAGCAGTGTGGGAGGCTGGTCCTAGCCCGCACTGTGTGGTGGGACTGCACACCTCCCTGTAATACTGCTGTCACAGGACTTCCTGCTGGACGAGCTTCTGATGCGGCAGGCTGAGGGCACGTGTGTGGCACACATGCCACATGGGCATGAGGACACATGCTAGGCCCACTGAGTTTATGCAGCCACCTCAGAAACAGGAACACACGACCTTTGAGAGTGAGAGGCATACACACAACCATCCAACCCACCCACTTCAGACAAAGAAATGCAAAAATGTAAGTTCCGTTTTCACTTGGAGGTAGTTATCACACGGCATTACCACTGCAAGTGCTAATACAAGATTGAAAGCAAAGTACCACAGCAAAGATCAAACAAACAAACAAACAAACAAACAAAAACCCTAGGAAGCCATGAGAAAGACAGAATCACTTCTGTTGGATCAACTTACAATCAAATGAGAAAGATAAAACAAAGGCATACACACACCACTATGCACACATTCTATCCCTAGAGATAGAGGAAACAGCCTTTGCAGAATACATTATGCTGGTATTTCAGAACACTGGCAAGAAAAAGATCTTTAAAGGTTTTGAAGACGACACCAAAGAGAGAGCTCAGTGGTCAAGAGCGCTTGAGTTCAATTCCTAGCACCTGCATAGTGGCTTACAACTGCCTGTTAACTCTAGTTCCAGAAGATCCAATGTTTTCTTTTGGACTCCACAGGCACCAGGCATGCATGTGGTACACAGACATACATTCAGGCAAAACATCCGTACATATAAAAAATGTCAAAGATAAAAATGGTACAGGGGTGGTGCTCCACACAGGTAGCACACTGAAAACCAGAAGCTTGCATGGTCTGTGTCATACAGGAGCACTGGATGCTAATAGGGAGAGGCCTTGAAGACCCAAACAAAGATTACTGTTCTAGAATTTTTACCTAACTAAAGTGCTGTACAAGTATGCAAAGTCATTTGTGTGTGTGTTTAAAATGTTTATCTTTATGTATGAATGCTCTTTCTGCAGGTACACATCACACCAGAAGTAGGCATCAGATTACATGGTTGTAAGCCACCATATGCTGGGAACTGAACTCAGGACCTCTGGAAAAGCAGCCAGTGCTCTTAACCTTTGAGCCATCCCTCCAGCCCTCTGTGTGTGTTTTTAATATAGGGTTTCTTTGTGTAGCCCTGGCTATTCTGGAATTTACTCTGTGGACCAGCTGGCCTCAAACTCAGAGATCTGCCTGCCTCTCCTGGGATTAAAGGTGTTTGCACCAGAAATTTAAAAAAAAAAAAAAATCAAGGGCCAAGGAAATAGGGTATCCTGAGACAGACAGGGAGGCCTGCATGGGACCTGAAGACAGCAGACCAGCTGGAACAGAAAGCCAGGATGAACAATACTGAGGAGAAAATGGTGCTTTCAGATGATCTGATGTATTTTGAGGAGCCAAGATGTAGTAGAAGGTTCAGGAAAAGATCATCAACTCAATTATTATCTCCAAGGAAAAGCAAAAGGTTAAACAAAAAAAGCATTGTGGAGCTGGGGAGATGGCTCAAGTATGGGTTAACGGCAGCACTGGTTGCTCTTGGGAAGGACCCAGGTTTGATTCCTCGCACCCACATAGTAACTCACAACTCTCCATAACCCCTGGAACTGGGGATCCACCAGGTACACATGTACTGCAAATACGTTGTGCAAGCAAAGCATTCACATACATAAAGTAAAATAAGTTGAAGAGGAAGAAGAGGAGGAGGAGGAAAGCAGCAGCAGCCTGGGTGTGGTGGCCATTGCCTTTTATCCCAGCACCTGAGAGGCAAAGGCAGGCAAATCTTTATGAGTTTGAAGCCAGCCTCATCTACAAAGTGAGTTTCAGGACTGCCAGGGCTGTTACACAGAGAAGCCCTGCCTTGAAAGACCAAAAATAAAAATAGAAACAAAAAAAATAAAATTTAAAAGAACAAGAGAAAAGTAGTATCACACTGTGACCATGCTGCAGCTGCGGTGACACCAACACTGTCATCCTACACGGACACACAGAAGCACACCAAGCGTGCCAGCACACTCCTGTAAGCTCAGCATATCTGACACTTAGGCCCGGGGACCTCTATGAGTGCCAGGCCTGCCAGGGCTGTCTCAAAAAAATATATTTTTTTAAATGATACTGGGAACAGATCTAAGAAGCATGATTTGGGGCTGAGGAACTGGCACTGTGGGTAAAGTGCTAGCTAGCGCATATGAGGACTTGAGTTCATACCCCCAGCATGCAAGTAAACACCAAATACAACATTTGTAGCTTGTTATCCTTGTAGCTGCAAAGGCAGAAACAGGAGAATTTTTGGGGCTTGCTCGCCAGCCTGTCTGGCAGAATTGGTGAACTACTTGTGTTCGGTGACAAAAAATAAGGTGGAAAGCAACAGAGAGAAACATCGGACATTGACCTCTGGCCTATGTATGCACACACACAAACGCACAC